AAAATTATTGAATAGAAACGATTTTGATTTGCTAAATGACGTCACACGCTAGTAAACTTCCTGCCAGTGACATTACATTGTATCGTTTGACGTTTTAATGGCAGCCGTGGTTTTTTTCTATGTATTACGCAACAGAATTAAAGATACCCACTTTTTATGGACTCCATAAACAATTTATAAAAAAAATACTAAATAACGTGAGATCTTTTTCTAAAACTTGTCAAATACAATGAGTATTACATGCACTCAGTTCATAATATGTCAAATTTGGTAAAAACCGAACACGAAACGACGCCGCACCGACCCGATGAGAAAGGCGCCTAACGATCATGCAAGGAGTCTAAAATAATAATACAATAATATCAATACAAATATATGTTTAATAAGTCTTCTTAAACATGAAATAACATTGACATGTACAATAATGATTTTCAAGATTTAACATAATGAGTCTCACATAATTATATAGTTTTATAAAGATTATTAAAAAATAATGAAGACATAACGGTGAAGAGAATCTCTTAAACATCAAAGAGTATATGTTTAATTATGCATCATTTTTAATAGCGTCACAAATAAAAACAATTGTATAATGTTCATCATTTCATTTTTCTGTAATGAAGTTAGATGCAAACCATTGCGTACAATCTCGTTCAGCCGGAGTGGGGATAGGTTCATATGTTCATATTCAATAACTTCATTGCAATCGTAAATGGTGAATATTATACTCAATCAGCAATTAATAAAAGTAATTATTTAACTTCCCTTCATAGTATGTACAAAACAGTTTAACAATGACTAGTGGCTGATGCACACGTCTAAGACAATGAACTCTATGCATTCTAAAAAGCACCTTAAATTAATTCAACTAAAGTCTATCATCGTGATTGCGGCGATTAACAAAATATAATTTTACAGCATGCTTTTCTATTATTAAAGAAAAATCTAACGATCTACAATATTATCAACAATTCATAATTCAAAGAATGAAAAGGCTATTAACTAACATCAGTTGACTAGCAAAAATCTAATGCTTAAAATATTTCCTACATACTTTATTAGATAAAGTAAAAATGTAGATATTTTTATTAAAAAACAACATTATGGAAGATAACATGGTAATTGGATGAACACAGTAAAAGACTTAAAACACGACTAGGTGCACGGGGTATCTGACCCATGTTCAGAGTAACATCTCTTATCTATTAGACAAGTCCGTCTGTCTGTGGTGCTGTTTCAGCGGCCAAACCGTAGGAGATAGATAAAGAGAATATTTAAGTTATAAGTTAAGAATAGTCTGATAAGACTACAAACCGGATTTGAGTAACGAAGCACTTCCGGTTTTCGCGAAATCAGGTTTTGGTGAACATTTGGTTCATTGGTTTGCTAGTATATAATAATTAAACAGACTTCAGAACAATTTGTTTGCAAAGTTCAAAATTGGTAGAAAATTGTTATTACCACTACATTACAAAATAATAAGAAAAGAAACTATTGACTAAAATTAAATTTGACAACAGTGTATCCTTGTCATACTCTATGGTACTCTATACAGAATGAAAAGGAGAGACCGATGCTAATTTAATTTTAAGTTTCGAGAATCAAGACAGAATCGACACCATTTTCTCTATATAATGGAGATATAATTTCCTTTATGATTTTGCTTTATTCGCTCATAGAATAGATTGAAAAAAGTGGTAGAGTTCCTCACTACAAACTATACTGTATTACAAAATTATAATTATTATCATTTTGTGCATCAGACTTCGGCTCGGTAAGACATACAATTAAATTCTTCGTTTTTACATCTTATTTGAATATCTATTTAGAATGTAATAATGGCTAAATCTATATAATAAGGAAGTTGCGATTTTGGCATTGAAAATATAATTTTAAACTTTATTTACAAGACATATCATTAATCACTATCATACAGGAATTGTAAAACGCGTAAGTGTATGTTGGTTTTACGTAATAAATGAAGATTCACTCCGTGTTCACAAAATCGGTGGTTCAATTAATTTGATGATCACAATAATTTCTTATTATTTATACATTCATTCTTCATTAATAAACAAAAAAGATATTTTTAGTAATTAATGCGAATTAAGCGATATCTGTGTGAACTTCATTTTCTGCCTATCCCACCCGGAACACGGAAGATCGATAGAAAATAGATTTTTTGGACAGTTTCAAGACTATAAGTTTTTAAATTTTAACTTACTTAAACTATTTAGTCAAATAGGCGTATTGCAGTTGAAGAATTGTAATGATTATGATGCTTATTTTATTAAACGACTGCCCAAAAAGATAGTGTTATGTTTTCACTGTTTTCAGGGATCATGTATGTACAAATTCTTTATTCAACCATAAATTCTAAACGCCTTTCACTATCCCAGGTTCCATAGGATACCTAAACTGTTAAAATTGAAATAACAGCAATGTCAAAATGTCAATTATTTATGTAAATTAAAAAAGTCTCAATTAATGCAATATAGGTACCATTTGAAAGGTCTTAATGAGACCATATCAAATATATACAAATATACATAGTAGCAATAATAAATGGGTGTTCCTGCAAAGCGATTTCATACTTTTTAGTTCATTCTAACGGCAGTCGTTTTTTTTTTTATTATTATTGGAATAGGGTTTAATGTTGGTTTTGCTTTTAAGTCAATATGGATTTCTTTTTAATGTTCGGTGGGACGATAAGAAACCAGTTTATAAAATCTCTAAAAAAAATCTTCAGCACCTTTACGGAATTATAACCTAGAGGTAGCAGTAATAAAACATTTTCTAAGACTAAATAATATTGAGCAGTTTCTTTGAACTTTCGCGTAAGAAAAGGTAGTTAATTGTGTAAATATATGTAACAAATTTTATTATACATTTTTATTTGTTACGAATGAAAACCTTTTCGAAAAATATAATTTATATGTACTCAAATAGATTTTTAGACAAAATGTACTTTATAATTTTTCATTAGATTCTATTAATAATAATATTTAAAAAGATTTATATGACAAACGCTATGAGTGATTTAATAAATGATTCCCCAAATATATACAATATTGGATAGAGATCTTTATACATCGCTTATTAACATCACTACATGACCGAGACAGATATCACAATTTAGTGGTTGCTGACGAGGTACTTACTTAAATACATTACTTATATACTTAAATACAAATAGGTCTCTACGATGAAAGACGTTTTATAGTGAAAGAATGCAACTTCGATAACACTTTCTTTATTTAGGCTGTATGACAGTATGAGAAATGAAAGTACCAATTGTTGACATGTGTATCTAACATAACATATTGGGAGCGATTTCATTATTATAACAAAAAAAAGTAGTTTATAATATAACTAAAGATCATGAAATAGGAAAGTATTTTTTGATCTATTATCACGTGACCAAAATCGCGTAGGATTATCGGAGCCTAAAATGACGTCACCTGCTTGTAAACATGCTGTCGAACTATGTACTGCTTGACGTTATAATGAGAGCCATTTGGCCTCACCTACCTGTAAGCACGCCATATTTACTAGAGAAACGTTACCGCGGCATATTTGAAAACAGAATTTTTATTTTCGTTTTTTATTGACATACGCAACAGAATTATAAATATCTTCTTTTATGGGGTCACTAATAAAAACGTTTAAACTTTTTCAAAAACTTGTCAAGTAGCCAATTGTGGGTATGCGTAACCACAGGAAAGCAAGCACTCATCACTCATTAATTCGGTCATTACTTTAATTATGCGTATATTCCGAAATATAAAAAAGTACGCTGGCCAGCGGTAATGACGTCATGATTTCGACGATATATTGCACTGGTGTAGTAGTAGTGTTGTCAATATGGCGTCGAAATCATGACGTCATTACCACTGGCCAGCGTTACTGGTGTTTGATTCGGAATACACCCTATGTAATCTGTGGTAGCTAAAAACGCGATTCCTAAGTACCTACATATCGGAACCACTATATTTTTTAAGTTTATCAACCACAAATTGCAATACATATCTCGGTCACGTTGACATAGAGCAAGACATGGATCGGCAATTCTGGTCTACTCTCCAGAAAGAGAGAAAATCATGGTGCAGTTAATACCTATACGAAAATCTAACCGCACGATAGCTTCCTCTCTCTCTCATACTTATCTGCCCAGTTTTATTGACAGTATAAACCGCGTTTGTCATTGACAGTATAAACTGCAGCGAAATTCTTAAGCAACGACCATAGAAAAGGAAGCCTGCGCAGTAGCAATTTTACATACAAAAACGTCTACTGCGCAAGTTTATTTAGTTAGTTTAGTTTAGTTTAGTTTTGCACAAGAAGTTTTCCGGTACCTATATTTAAAGTTTAGACACATACACTATATACAAACTTTACACACCTTACTTAACGCACGCTTGTTGGAATACTGACTAATAAAGTACTTAAGTATTACAAAGTCAAAAGCTTGTTTAAACACCATAGGTCAATATTTTATTTACATGCAATAAAAATCACTGCAACGTCAACAAACCTAACTTTGTAAATTACGCAAATAGTATAAAAATAAATAGTGCCATCATTAAACAAGCCTGTGGTTAATTTAACTTTGACATAAGCTCTAATAAGTCAGTATTCCATTAAGTAACTATTTACACAAAAGTATCAATTCGTTGTATATTCGATTCACAATAATTATTATACAAAAGTATTATTTTTAATAAAACCCTTTTTTTTTTTAAACGATAAATGTTGCAAACATTTTCTAATAAAACATGAGGATAATTATTGTAGGTATGCAAACATTAACAGAAATACATTATTTAAGATTTGAAAAAAAAGGCTTTATCAAAAAGTACGAATAAGATATACAAAAAGAACATGCATAAAAAATATAATATAAAAAATGGTTGATATAAAGATATTCTATTTTAGAAATTAAATTCCATATTAAATACATATAATTATAATAATAATAATAAAACCTATAATTTAAGGCTGACTCTTTAATTTTCTATTATAAAATTCAACAAACATGTCTCATCAAAAGACAAAAAAATAAACAAAACAAATAGGTCAATATAATATGACGTTAGCCGCAAGTTTTATACATGCATTTATTTATATCTACTCGAAATACTCAAAAATTTCTTCATCTAAACATCAGTTAAGGTCTTCTCATGTTTACACGGACGGTATTCACACACTTCAAATAATTAATCGGTATGCGATTTTGAATAGCGTGAAGTTAGCAGCAAGCGTAAATAAAGTGCAACCAAACAAGATTTTGAGGGTGCGTAGCTGAAATCTAAGGTGAAAATTTAAGGTACAAATTTTAATAAGCCTTTTTATTCGTATTCGCAGGTGTAAATAAGACTTTTATATTTCTTATTACTCTTTTCGAGTTAATGCAAATTATAATATTCCTTAAGTCAGGAGATTTTACGTACTTATTTAATCCTTATTTCACCAGCAGCTCCTCAAAGTGCAACAATAACTTGGTCGCATTGAACGCTCATCTATACACTTGGTGTTTAAATAAATATACCGCACACACTTTAATTTCGTTTACTGCTGCGCGACTTGCGTTAACTTCACTTGCGTCAACTGCCGCCATTCAGTTTGCATCGTACTTTTATATTGAGATCAGTATTAAGTCTATATTCCAATCAACGGAGACGTCATACAAAACAATAGAAAAACAAAAATCGGTCATACAAAAAGTATGTTAGTCCTTAACAAGTAATTTACTGAAATCTAGCTGATGCATCCGAATATTGAGAAGGCCTTAACTTAAAAAAAATGTTTAAATTTTGGCAAAAGGCATTTCAATTTGAATGTCTGTTTACAAGTTTATTACATGAATGCCTAAAAGAGTACATTAATATATCATTTTACATAGAAATTTGACACGAATAAAATAAGTAATAAAAATATGTATATAAATATGACTTGGCCGTGGACAAGTCATCGGCAATAAACATTTGCACATATAATATACAGTACATACACAATGTTTCTTGTTGTTGTCATATATGTAGTACTTGGCATTAGGAAAACGCTTAATAATTGTTTTCTCGTCATATGCCGATCATGCAAAACAGACCATATATACAACTGAAAAAAATTTGCTAGCTCGCGATTCACTTGACTATGTAGAGATGACATTAGTCTTTCTCCAGTTGTTTTTCTAGCTGAGACTGGCGAGAGGCCTCCCTGGCAGTTCATCTCGTCTACCTATAATTATTTTAATAGTGCAAACTGCACATAATTCAGCAGACGTTTGTGCGTGCTAACCGCTGCATTCACTTGACAATGTGGGCGACATATGTATGTTTTTCATTCTGCAGCTGGATTATACTTACTCTGGCAGCACAGCTCATCCAGCCAAATTTATGATGTGTACTGTGTATGGTACCAATAATTCGTCAAATGTATATTTTTAGTATTGTGTATGGTGCCAATAGATCGTAAGACATATAATTTGCGTGCTCACCGCTCGATTCACTTGACTATGTAGACTACATTGGTGTCTTTCTCAAGTTGTTCTTCTAGTTGCGGCTGCGAGAGGCCTCCCTGGCAGCACAGCTCGTCGAGACACGTCAGCCCCGTATAAAGTCGCGCCGGCGACTGACTGCGCTCGCTTAGAGTCGACGACGCGTCATCATTTTGTAGGGTAATTGGATACTGTAACAACAAGCATCAGTCTTGATGTCGTTATATTGGCAAAATATTTTCATAGGTTTCAATATGTTCGACATTGGTAAGAGACACCTCCGTTTTGGCATCCTTTTTACATAAAAAGTCAGAATTTGGGTGTATGGATGGGAGTGTCTTTCAGGGTTCCATACTGGGGCCCAATTTATTTATTATTTATGAAACAGATTATTATGAGACGTATTAGTTGTAAAAGTATGACTGACATTGATCAGGTTGAATAGAAAAATTACTACAGAATCAATCTATAAGTCATACTTTGATAAAGAAGAAGAAATATCTACAGTAAGTAAATACATTGTTTAAATCTAAAGAAAATATAATTAGAAAAAATTCCCTACCTATCTACAATGCGAAGAATTTCGACGCGGCCGTCAGGGCCGCGGTAGCATAATTGGTCAGTGCATTCGCCCGGATAGCGAAGGATGCGGGTTCGAGTACCGTCTGCACTATAAGGCTTGTGTTATGGGATACTAGGGTAACGGATAGAATACATATACTGTACATATACATATAAATATATTTATATAAAAATACAATTTAAACATCCACAACTAGAGTACAAATGCTCGTATTCATCACACAAACATCTGCCCCCACCGGGATTCGAACCCGAGACCTCTCGAGTCGGCGACACCATGAAACCCGGGGTACAAACCACTCGGCTACAGAGGTCGTCAAATTATCAATACATTACATTACATATACAATTTAGTGGTACATAGTATATAACATATCCTACAGAGTAGACTGAGTTAAGAAAAGCAAGAGGCACAAAAGAAAAAGGAGAATAGGGATGATGACTCATTTTTTTTCTTCGTTTATCAGGTAGATTATCAAAAAGTATTGGACACGTATTTTTTCTTTTTTCACATAATATAAACATTGCAGAGATATATTGATTTGAAAAGTCGCATGACGTCACGTTTGAGTACACTTATAAGTGAAAATTCACTCAAAAGTGACGTCACGAGCCCCTACTCCCAAAATTTGACGCGCTATAACTTTGTCATTTTTTGGTTGATTGCCCAAAGATATATAGCTATACACGGGTTCGGTGTTGACCTACTCAACTCAATACTTGGTTTGTAGTCATACCTTGTAGACGCGCCGTATCAACCCCTCCAGCACACCGAAGAGCACCAGTTTCCGCTCGTTGATGGCCAGTTCTTGCGGCCGCATGCGCCGGCACAGGTCGCGCACGGTGCTACCGTACGTCATGCCCGCGTACATGCGGAATAAGTCGCTCACCTTCGGTAGCTGACGGGCTACAATACGCAAACATGTATTAATCTATACTAACGCCATAAAAAGGTAAAATTTGTGAGGGCAAGCGGTAAGTGTGCTCGGTCTGCGATCGTGGAAGTTGAGAAACTTCGCAATGGCTGATCATGGTGCTGACAAGTGCAACTGTAGCTGGGATCGCGGCTTAACGTGGCTTCCGAAGCAAGGTGGAGCTCTTGCTAAATCTATCCTTTTCTTTTCATATCTGGAAAAAGCATGACGACCAAAGGGAGTTACAAGACGAGGGTATATGTGGACTCCGCCATAGTCATTTCACCCAGCTCAAGGACTCGATGAAATGATCAGAGCTCTTTCCAGTAAAACCTGACAATACTCCTGCACCGGTCACCCGGCACGCACTCTGAGGACCTGGGTCTCCCGAGTAGAAAAAGTAGTGCGGGTTAAAACCACGGGACAAAGTGCTGCACGGCCCCACCGGTGATTGTCCGTTGCCGGACCGATGACGTGTCCGTGATGCTAGCGTACACACGATCAATATACGGTTTTTCGTTATGCCATTAAATACTGCATAAATATGTGCACAGAAAGCTCATTTTCTATCAGAACTATTATGGGTACGCCAGGTTGACGCCAGCTAAGAATGTTTAGTTCAATAACTTTGGTCATTTAAAAGTATTGATTATGAAATTTTGTAAAGTCAGGGCACTATTTGCGAACTATTTTTGTGTGTCAATTTCGTTGCTTAAATATATGCCGTTCTTGGGGACGGCCATGGGTACGCTAGCTTGACGTTATGCTAGCGTGCACAGTAAAAATGGTCTTATTTCTTAAATTAAAGAGTACTATTTTTTTATTTTTACACTAATTTTGCACTATTTACGCAGTATTTAATGGTATAACGAGAAATCGTATATTGATCGTGTGTACGCTAGCATCACGGACACACCAATGACTGATGAATGTTTGGGATGTTGAAAGTTTCTTAACTTTCACGATCGCAGACCAAACGTGCTAAACACTTGCGCCATCGAGTTTCTAGACTAATCTAATATATACTATATTGTCATAAACTCTCTTTAAACAAAACCGCAAAAATACTGGAGACGATTTTACCAAAACACCGCGGGTCGCGACGTGAATGTTGGCAATAAAGGTCGAAAGGTGCGGCTCATTCTAATATGAGCGTTATGCAGTGCGGCGTTAGGAAGAAAGTGGAACGACATCTGCACTTGTTTACAACTTGTGCGCGTTACCTACGTATAAGTAGGTACTGCGCACTCGCGGGTGCTAGTTAACTGACAATTTAACGGGACTTTTCTAGAATGCGTCATGATGGCGTCATCAGACTTAATGTCCCCACTGCTGGGGCACTGGCCTTCCCTATGGACTTGCTTAACTTCAACGATCGAAACCGTACGCGCTAACCAATTGCGCCATGGAGCCCCTCTGTTAGTCACACTTCAACACAAAAAATCTTAGGGCAATACATACCTGATCTGGCGCAGAACTCTATGCACTGTCGTTGTAGGCCCGGACACCTAGTCAGTTGCCTTAACTTGGGAGTTGCGCTGTACACCTGCAAGCAAAAAAATTGTGTGTGTCAGCTCCGACGCACGACCGGAGTTTACACTCTAAAAACGATCGTCTTTGAACAGACACAAAACAAAATCAAGTCCGAAGAAGTCGGTTACAAGTAAAGATACCTCAGGAATCGTCCCATGGTTTCTACTACCATAGGTTCCATGTCACACATTTTATCATCTAGCATCAGCGATATTCATCATATATTTTATTATGTATTTCTAGAACACACACAATTTCAAAAATATCACACACTAGTCATCATTTTGTAAATATTCCATCTGTACTGAAAATCACTATTCCAGAGTGCTGGACACTTACCGGCATTTCTCTATATTCTGTTATTTATTTGTTTTCATTAATTTTGCTCCGATTTTATCTATTTTTAGTTTATTTATTTTATTGACATTTGTGACAACTTAATGTTTTTTATCCGTTGCCATGGCTAAAAGTGAAAGGTGCGCAGATGAGGTTGCGCACAAAAACGTAACGAGGTCATTAATGTCATTCATCGATAGATTTTACTCCTCACATTTTTCTCATACCGGGCCCCTTATATATGCAAATCGATTCTTAAGGAGTAAACTCCAATAAAATCAAGTAAACTACCACAGATCTAGACCCGCAAGTGAGAGTCGAAATCGCCCACCGAGGGCGATAATGATCTTTCTATCAACCGATCGTTTCTGTGCCTGAATTTATCTCAGAATATTCGATATGAGACAGAAGGTTCTCATATTCAAATCTTTTAAATTATGATATTTACTTTTTAATACAACTGCGAGCCGTAGGCATTACATAAGCAAAGAGTTTGTACAAGCAAGGAGGTCGTTACGCTACGGGCGATACAGTACCTATTTGAAAACCTTCGGCGGGCAGAAATAAAATCATAAGCTATAGCCACAACGATATTAAATACCCTAGATACACCATCACATACAAAATCGTTGCCGAACACTGTCCTAAAGGTACATAGGAAGGTCGCGTAACAACGCGTAAGTTAAAATAATATTGGACTATATTAAACATTTGAAAGTCAACATTAATTTATAGGTGATACGGTCTTAATTAATGTGGTTTTGTCAAGAAATTATGACAGTTTAAAATGCAAGCCAATTGCCAATTTTATTGCTTTTCTTCGAAGGCGACAAGATAAAGACTTTAGAATTCCTTGACTTTAGGTCTAGTTCTGGATAACGCATCCATGCAGAAAGTAATAATAGGGAACAAAGATGCCGTAGAGTGGTATGTGTAAATTTTAAATTGAATACAAAGTAACTTTTTTTAATTGACTTAAGTACGAACTTAACATTTTTATTAGATTATATTATATAAAATGCTTTATGTAATGCTTATTATATAAAGTGTTTTACGTTCATGATAAATACCTAAAATCATAAGCTATAGCCATTTAATAGCCATAGTTATCCCGATATTACCAACATATTGGTGTTTACTCACTGCGCAGTACTGGAATATGGGGACCAGCGTGACAACTCCGTAGTAGACCAGGTTCTGGACGCAGGCGCGCACTAGGCTGATCTCCACGTCAGTCAGGGCGGCTATCTTGGACACGTGGTTAAACCCGTCTATGTACGGTAGGATCTGTAACAAATTAGACAACATTTAAAAAAAAAGAAAAAATAGTCTGTTATATTTTCATCACCTTCCATTCTGGGATGGGGCAAACTTATATAGAGAGGTAGCTTCGTCTGGGGTAAGTTTCGACCATGACAATCTCACAATTTTATTTATATTAGCGAGACTTGGTTATTGGTGCGAAAGCACCACCAAGACGAAAGTCTTATTTTGATTAACGCTTTGTTGTGCAAGGTAGAGAAAAAAAATATGTTAACATTCTCATGGTGCATCTTAACACCTAAAAGGTGTATAATACACCTACCACGTATATACTTTCCAAAAACTAGAACTTCAGTAGTAACTTTTAAGTAGATCGATAACAAAATAAAAATGGTTTCCCTGTAACGGGCAGACCTTGTTGCTCCGAAATTCAACATCTTTAAACGTTTACTTTTAAGGCATATTTTTTGTAGGTAAATAAAATTATTAGGTAATTAATTATAGTTTTACCCCTCATCAATAATGTATTTGAGTGATATCTAATAATCTAGTCTAAGCTTACCCCTCGTTTATTAATAAGGGCGAGAATGTATATATGTCCGAAAAGAAAAGGTTAGTGTGGTAACCTAAACTGAGCCAGTCAAAAATCAATTGTGGTTCGTTAGTCTCGCTAAAATTCGAGAACGGCTGGGCCGATTTAAACAATTTTATTGTTGAAATGTTTATCGTAGTCCAGAGAAGGTTAAAACGGTGAGAAAATATGGAAAAATTGGAAGGAGGATAGTAAAAACAACAATTTCATTTTTCCATATAAACTGTTCTACCGACATTCCTGTCAACCTATGACCATGGCAATGCCTGACATTACCGATCAAAATTTTCAGCCATTTTAGCGAAGGAAGAGTTCTAATGTCTTCAGGATAGGTGATACGAAATACACCGGGTTATCTTGTAATAGATAAATAAACGAAGAAAAGTTAAATATTTGTACTGTGAACTTTCTGCTTTTTAATTATTGTGGATATTAAATGAATGCTTAAAAAACTACAAAATTATGCGTTTAGATGACTGCAAACTGAGTGAGTGCCTAATTATTTTCTGTGAAATGAAGTTGATGCCATCCGCTGATATGCATTATGACATTAAAAGTACTGCGACACAAGGTCTACCTTGTACCCAATAAAAATTGTATACGATTGTGTTACCAACCATCCAGTTCTACTATCCTTTGACTAAGTAAGGCATTTAATGGTTTGTTATATCGTTGCTAATTATAGACAAAATGGGTTCAGTCTCTCGTCATCTAGATCTACTCTGTTCCTCTAAAACAACAAGAAACAGTAAACACACGCCTCAAAATAAACGGGCAGTTTAAGAATAGCCGTCGTCGGTTTAGCACGTGGTAGTCACATTTCAGCCAATCAATTTTTCTTTTATTGTTTCAGCTGGCAAAATCACCAATAGCCAATTCCAATTTGATGCCTGATAACGCATTAAGATATGGGCATTAAACTTTAACGATTCTTAACGTTTGACACCGTTTGAGGAACTCGATGGCGCAAGTGGTTAGCGAGTTCCATTGCGATCGTTGAAGTTAAGCAACTTTCGCAGTGGTCGGTCATTGGATGGGTGACTAAAAATTTACTATCTCGAGCTCCTCTGTGCTAAGGAAGGCACGTTAAGCCGTTGGTCCCGGCTGCAGATGCAGCCCACCAATCCGCACTGGGCCCGCGTCATAGCCATAGCCCAATCTCCCTATTCCATCCGTAGGGAAGGCCTATGCCCCAGCAGTGATGAACGTTTGAAATTACTACAATTTTAAATTGTCGGTACTAAATATAGCGTAGCATTATATCGATCATGATCATTACTAATCTGAATGGTTTAATAAGTAAGGTCTATGAAACAGTATCTAATAATGTGAACTGTCGACAGGACACCGACCGAATGATAAGAGTTTTTGATAATCAATGAGAGCACTACAAACTATTGGTACTGGGAAGCCTGCTACTGTGAAGTTAGTTAGAAATTTTTCGCAGTAACTAAAGGAATATTCGTGGTGCGTGGTTGTGGTAAATAATTAAAGGTATTTAAGATAAAATAGACTGTAATGAACTCAAAATCGGAGAGAGAACGAAAGTACGTTGGCAGCGAGTGACAAGTGACAAAGGCGCCACACGCGCATAAAAAAGAACTAATTTGGTTGCGTTCCATTTTACACTAACAATAACGAAATTTTAACAAAACATGAAAGAATATAAACTAGGCACGACGAATATATTAGCCTCCTCCTTTTTTGTTTGAAGGCGAAACATAACGAAAACACAACGAAAGGAAAACACTCGCATTTTGAATGACATTAAAAATGCAAAGCTATGTAAAAGCATATCTTGTTATTATCATAATACATCCTATTAATTATTATTGTTTTATAAAGCATAATTTAATTTCTGAAGTAAAAACTTCTTTAACGGCGTTGTACACTTTTTTTGTATGGGTAAAAATGTTAAACTCGCGTCAGGACACGAGGGCTGCTCGCGTCATGACACGTGGCCTGATCGGGGATCTGTCGAAAACAATAAAATTGGAAAGGTTGTTGACTTTCAATATTATAATAATAAGTCTCTATCTAGGACGTCCAGGTGGCAGCTTTATTGCAAAGAAAATGCATTTTTTTACAATAGATGTCGCTAAGTGCGCTTAAACGTGATTCATGTAAGTTGATTTTACTGAGGGATAAATTTTTTAATGTAATATAAATTGTCATGTTCGTGTACGATAGTGCAATAAATAAATATTGTATTCTACCACATAAATGATAGTACTTTTATACTGCTAATCAAAGCAATTCGTGCAAAATGATTCCCTAACCATTGCAAAATATCAAAAATGCACAACGTAATATTCAAGTTTTCACTTCTGCCGGCACTCCCGGAGTGCAACCCGTCGTTTTTTTTAGCAAAAGCAGACATTACGCGTATTACTTGTAGACTTATAACGGTGGTAAAATGCTCCATGAACCATGAGCGGTAAAAAGTAACCGATAACTCGAAAGAGCATAAAATGCATTTATGAATAGTCACGCATCGTTGAACGCAGCAGCGTGGCGGGTGGCAACAGCAACCGGCATGCGTACCGCGCATGAGCCTCTGAGCTAATAATGCTCTCAGGACGGCAAATAAGAATAAATTACATCTTTACATATCGCACCTTTAGAATTCAAGTGACTTAAATAAAAAATGGTTGCCTGTAAAGTCGGTTTTACGGGCGAAGATTTTACGTGACAACGTCTTTTTCTCGGTAGAATATTTATTGATATGAATATAATTAAATTGCACAATAGGAACAAGGAATTGAATGAAAATAAGAATTGCACAAATTTTAACTATAGAAATATATTTTGTTTACTAAAACATTGTACATGTAAACTTAAACTTAACACGAGAGACTCATCGTAACGTTACCGAGCGTTACACTTTTTCATAAGTGACTCCCAGCCGCAACCTAATTTAAGACGTTGTCACGTCAAAAAATAGCAAAATGACTTTTAAACGTGAAACGACAAAAAAACATGTATTCTATCAGTTTATTAATAATAAACAGGGTCTTTTAGGCCAGAAGAAGACAAACATACTATTTCCGTCACTTTTAAATGACACGCATACCGCGCCTCCCTCAGTATTGAAGTACCCCCCATTCAGTGTTGCGTGGACATTTATTTAATTTTCCTTCAATTTAGAAAATCATTAATTATTAAACTAACATATTAAAAAATTGGTCATCTATCAGATATATAACATCAGAAATGAATCGCCTCTATATTAAATAGTTACGTTTTTGTTTTATGTTGTTTAGTAAAAAATGGACACAAAGTGAAATAAGTCAATTACAATAAACTGATTTCGGAAAATAAGTGACATGTTTATTTTTGATGATTAATTAACAAAGGTTCTAATTAGTTATACAGGCTGGTTTAGCAAACAATCGTGAAAACAATTCCTATCCTACCATTAACAATAAAAAATACGATAAACGTGTAACTTAGAGCATTTTAATAGAAAAACAAAAAAATCAATCACATTTTTAGCGTTTACCAAAAAAGAAGAATTTTGGATTAGGTCACTTCAATTCCAAAGGTGCGATATAATAAAACGATAGGAAAGTCAAAACTGTACAATTAAATTTTATTTTAAAGAATACTTGGGGTGTGATTCACATCCGATACCGAAACCAAATATTGGTTTTTAGAATTTTTGTATGTTTTTCTGTATGTATGTCCGGGATAAACTCAAAAATTATTGCATGGATTGACTTCAAATTTGGCACGAATATTATTAAGAAGTCGGGTCAACATATAGGCTACATGTTATCTCGCTATCACTTAAGGGGAACGAGCAGTGAACCTTTATTTCTAACTAGCTCCACGGCCGCTAGTTCAAAATAAAAGAACACACGAAACACGTGATTTTATTAATGTATTTGTCTGATCTCCTTCCAGACTTTCCAAACATTTATTGTTGGTCTTATCATATGATAACAAACTAGCAAACCAGTGTACCAAATGTTCACCAAAACCTGATTAAAAAAAAATGTATTTAATTAATTGAGAACTTCGGAGATTTTGTGTGGTTTCGTTTGAAATTCGTGATTTCTCGAAAACCGGAAGTGCTACGTTACTCAAATCCGGTTTGTATTCTTATCAGACTATTCTTAACTTATAACTTAAATATTCTCTTTATCAATCTCTTACGGTTTGGCCGCTGAAACAGCACCACAGACGGACGGATGGACGGACTTGTCTAATAGATAAGAGATGCATATACTTCTTTAGATTTAAACTCTAGCAGTTAAATGCTTAAAAAATAAAAATTATAACTATAATAGCTATTTCTTCTTTCAAATGTTTAATACTTTTAAAGGTATTTATTTGACATTGTGGGTTACTTATAATGCGAAGAGATGGCGCTGCCTTGCAGCCCAATAAATATAAAGGCATTCGAGGAGTTCCATGGTCCAGGAGGTTG